CGGCGCGATGCAATGCAACGCAACACGTAAAAAGACAGTATAAGTCATTAGAATCAGTAATTATGTCCCCACTGGATGCAACAAATGCCTCGTTTGTAATGGGTTTTAATGTTTTTGTCTCGTCGCTCCGGCCGGGACACGGCATCAACAGTATGGTGACGGGCGTAACATTTCTGTCTCACGCTTGAGGTATTCGGCCAATCACAACGCACTGGATAGCTGGCCAATCACAGCACACCTCGCTTTTTCAGACCGATGAGCTTTGTAAAAATCGACGCGTTTCAAAAAGGCGGGGCATAGAGGAGAAACAATAATGTACAGTGTGGAAAATAATGTGTTTTTTTAACTTTAAACCGCATAAACATTTCATTACACCAAATACACCAAATAATGTTCTTTTTAGCAACATCATATGACCCCTTTAAAATACTAGTTTGTCTGAAATCTAATGTTACAGCGATGATAAAAAAAAAAAATCTTCATACAAATTATATAGCACAGGATGACAGTGATCTTGCGGTGTGACGGCATGGATCTAATGATCACATGTAGTTTACTTACAGGCAGTTTCTAATAACGGCAAGAAGGTGACTGTGGCAGTGATCTGTCTGATAACGGAACGGATTTCCTCTTGGATAGCTTTTATGGACTTCTCCCTGGGTGCGCTGGAAAAGCCAAAGTGTACAATACTTTATGACGATTCATATTTGCATTGGTTTGGTAAAAAAACATTAAGACTAAATCACTATTAACTTAGTCATTTTTCAAGGCTGTGATTGAATATGAAAATTAATAATTTATCCTTCCATATTATGAAGTTCGATTACGTACCTGCTCTCATTTGCGGTCTTGTCACACTCAATATCAAACTGCCATCGCTCCAGCACCTCATTGGTCTCCAGGCATGTGATGACAACCACCAGCTTCTGAACTGTGCAATCAAACAACCATTCTGCAACGAAAAGGACAAACAATGCTAAAGAACTAAGCAGGCTCAGGTTTCCATTTCTAGTCATGAAAGTACAGCTCTTGTTCACTTAAATAGGGGGATACTGAAATCTTAAATTCAATTGTGCTTCTTCAGCTCAAATCTCTCAAACGTACAAAAACAATATTTTTGGGCTGGTTCAGCTAACATGCACAAGTGTTCTACTGTTAAAGGAATATATATATATATATATATTTTATTTATTTATTTTTGCTGTGATTGGCTGAAAATGTACTCACCCTCATGCCATTCAAGATGTAGCCCGAGTTTGTTTCTTAATCGGAACAGATTTGGAGAAATTTAGATTTACATATTGCTTTTCACTTCAGGACACCTTAACTGATGGACTGGAGTCGTATGGATTCCTTGTGGATTATTGTGATGTTTTTATCAGCTGTTTGGATTCTCATTCTGACAGCACTCATTCACTGCAGAGGATCCATCGGTGAGCAAATGACGCAATGCTAAATTTCTCCAAATCTGTTCTGATCAAGAAACAAACCATCTACATCAGAGGTCTCCAAACTCGGTCGTGGAGGGCCGGTGTCCTGTAGTGTTTAGCTCCAACTCCAATTAAACACACCCGAACCAGCTAATCAAGGTCTTATTGGGCATACTAGAAACTTCCAGGCAGGTGTGTTGAGGCAAGTTGGAGCTAAACTCTGCAGGACACCGGCCCTCCAGTACCGAGTTTGGAGACCCTTATCTACATCATGGATGGCTTGATAATTTCATTTTTGGGTGAACTATTCTGTTAACAAAGCAACTGAATAAATGCAAATCGGCTCTTTTAACTAAAGGTGGAACTATCATTAATTCTACCACATTAAGCATCGTGGTGCCTTGGTCAAAATGGCAATTGGTCAACATATTTAGTGTTACAGTTTGCTATTCATATACATCCAAGTGGCTCATCTCTGCTATAATGTATCTGGCAGTATTCTTTAGTAGTTTTTCTCATGTGAATACAGCACTCTTAAAGTACTTTGAGGTCAAATTTTAACACAGAAAAAAAACAGTTGAAAGCAACTTGTATGAATATCATATGCAACTCCAACTAAATTACATTACCAGTCTTAATGAAACAAACAAACTGTTCCACAAGATGTGGTACTATTATTTTTCAGACAAGAAAGGTTGGAAGAAAAACAACCTTTGAGTTGTGAGACGACATTAGTGAGGTAGTTCTTCAGCTTTGCATCTGTGGTCAGGTGAAGGCTCATGTCATATTGTGTAACTCTGGTGAAGGTTTCTGCTGGGTAGATTCCTCGCTGGTACAAGATGCTGTTGATTCCGAACGCTATAGACAACAAAGGACCCGTTTCATTTATTTTCTGAAACAATTAAAAAGGCACAGCACACCACTGCATACCAAAATGTATTTCATTTTCCAAATGAATCACTCTGTAAGACCGATCGCAGGAGCTAAAAATGGATAACACTAACATAATTATAAACAAAAAAACTGTAAAAATAATCAAGGCTACTGTATTATTTTCTCTACACAAATGTCTAAGGCCTCTAATTATGATTATAACTTTGATGAAAAAACTATTGACCACTATTACATGACTTCTGACATTTGATTGACAGTTTATACTTTTTTGTTTTTTCCAAGTAAAAGGCATTTTAGTACATAGGCTATTTATAAAATGTACCCTTTTTGCTGTGAAATCTTTACTGATTTCTATAAAGTAAATATAAGAATAACATATTGTTTGCAATATTTCAAGAGGAACACTTGCAGTAAGTGCTCACCTTTAAATTGTACTGACATTATAAGTTATTCTGACGCAAAAAAGGTTTACTATGAGCTACAGAATCCTAATGTATCAAATATGATAACTGTTAACGTTACTCAACAAAACACATGCGCAAACCTTTTAACATAAAAAAAATGTGACTAACCTTTCATGTTACATGGTTAACGTTAGAGATCATCATCAGAAAATCTTTACTTTTAAAGCCATGCATTTGAGATTAAAACAACAAAGGCTTGTCATAATGGATAAACCGTAGCAAAGGCACAAGTCTTTTGAACGAAACTTCAGACACCTCACGATTCGCGTCGATTTCTATTCCATTTCTATTGTAACCAGGACAGCCATCAACGACGCCGTGAAACCCATTCATCTGCCCCAAAAACATTCACGTTACTTACAGAAAAACTCAGCAACGAGTTCCGCACTCCCCTTCAGAGTGATTCCTTTCAATGTCTTGGACATCTTGGATTTTTAATTTTGGTTATTTTCTGTACGCTGCTTTAAGCCCTCCTCACTTGTTTTTTTCTTAACCGCCGACCAGTTTGAATCTAGACGCTGCGTCAGACGCTGGCGCATCATTGTGACGAAGCCGAATCCACGTTGAGAGAGAGAGAGAGAGAGAGAGAGAGCGAGAGAGAGAGAGCGAGAGAGAGAGAACAAGTTTATACTGATTAATGTTTTGCAACAAAATGCTTATGACCAAGTCTTTGTTATCAGCCCGTATTATTAACAATTTACAAGGGCGATAATATTATTATAAGCAGAATAAGATGTTGAAACAGGGATACAAAATGGGCGTGGTTTAGTGGCCCGGATGTAAGCAGGAGCTAAAAAATAACAGCACACACTACAGTAGCCGCAGCTGTATCCCTTCTATCCTTAACCATTCTTCGTTAAATCTTTGTAGTGCACCGTTAATTCGACCGGCATGATCCCAGTGTAATTTTTATGGTGTAAATTACTGTACAGAGCAGTGGTTCCCAATAATTAGTCCTTGAACACCCCCTCCCTTAGTTATTTGATAATGCCAAATTTGATAATAAAAGAAACCAATGTGTGTAGGCTAATTAAATATAAATCTTTTTGTTGTTGTTTTGCATCCATATTTGACCTCAAGCATATAAATGCATATACAAAATTATCACACATTACTAGTTACTTTAATCAGTGCTGTTCGAAATGGATTAAAGGGGTCATATGATGCGATTACAATTTTTGGAGTGTTACAAGCTCTTGGTGCATAAAGAAGATCTGTAAAGTTGCAAAGACTAAAGTCTCAAATCCAAAGAGATATTCTTTATAAAAGTTAAGAGCCAGCCACGCCTACCTAAAACGGCTCGTTCTAACACGCCCCCACATGTCTACGTCACTATGTGGGAAGATTTGCATAACGCCGCCCAAATGTTCACGCAAAGAAAGAAGGCGTAACTTTCATGCTCGCTGTATCTGCTTCGTCATGCCTAGAGCCTAGAGCTGATCCATGCTGGTTGCTGAGGAAATACAACAACTTCGCGCTGTGGATCGCCGGATCGGCTCTCACAGTGGATGAAGCGGAGTCCAGCCCGGGGTCGTCACATGTGGTTGC